TCCAGGGTTTTGGCCGCCCCAAGCAGCCAAAACCAAAAAAAAAAAAAAAAAAAAAAAAGCCGCGATCGCGATCTGCAGCGGCAATTCGGCGGGAGGTCCTTCACTCCGAGCCGGAGTGAGGGACCATCCGCTGAATTGCCGCTGAATACCTGGACCTGCCGCCCCTCTCCAGACCGGCCGCCCCAAGCACCTGCTTGAGAAGCTGGTGCCTGGACCCGGCCCTGACTAGCATTGACTGGGCGATGTCAAGGCAATCAATATAACATAGGCCTTGTCCTGCTTGACCTTGCATAGAATCCTGGGCAGAAGAGATATATGGGGAAAAGCATATAGGAGAGACACTGACCACAGCAGCAGGAAAGCATCCATCAATGAACCCGCACTGTGGCCTGCCCGGGAGCAAAACTGGTGACATTTTCTGTTGTCTTTTACTGCAAACATATCCATTTGAGGAGCTCCACAGAGGTGGAAAACGGTCCATGCCATGTCTGGGCTGAGGGACCACTCACAATGATTAACAACCTGCTCAGGTAATTGGCCAGCATATTCTGAGACTTGGGAGGCAGATCGCTTTCAGAAGTTGCTGATGAAGTCTCAAAACAGAATTGCTTCCCAGCAGACTAGTGAGGACCAGTTCCCACCCTGTTTGTTCTAAAGAGGATGGAGTTAGGCTGTTCTCAGTGGTTGCTTCTTGTTCTGTCATCTGCCATGGTCTCAAATTGCAGTGGGGGAGGTCTAGGTTGGATATTATGAAACACTATTTCAATAGGAGGGTGGTGAAGCACTGGAATGGGTTACCTAGGGAGATGGTGGAATCTCCATCCTTAGATGTTTTCAAGGTCAGGCTTGACAAAGCCTTGGCTGGGATGATTTAGTTGGTGTTAGTCCTGCTCTGAGCAGGAGATTGGACTAGATGACCTCCTGAAGTCTTTTCCAACCCTAATATTCTATGATAAAACATGGCTGTTAGACTGTCAGTCAGCATCAACTTTCCCAATGTGTGGAAGGAATGCCAGGCAAGATAATTCAATAGCTCGCAACCAAGGGCGCCGGAACTGGGGAGGCCAGGGGCCATGCCCTCCCCCTTTTTGAAAGTGGACAGGCCTGGTCCATCTACTTTTTGCCATGGCCCCCCGCCCGATAAGTAGAGGGTCCATGGCTGCCGGCCCACTCCAGCTTCTGGTTTGGCCAGGGACAGGGTGGGGGTGTAGGGGCACTGGGGAAGGGAGTGAGTGGGAGGTTAGGGGCAGCTCTGTCTTTTATACCTGCATGAGGCAGCAGAGAGGGCTCGTGCTGCCACGACTGGTACCACTAAAGGGAAAAACTCTCTGACAACTGTGCACTGGAGCACATGCACACCTACAGTGCAATGGACGTGTGAAATCAAAGAAGAACAATCAGTTGTGCACTTTGCTGAAACATGTATCCACCACGTGTGTATACACATAGCATTTTCCATACCTAACCCATATTAACTTCTTTTGAGGTAAACAGAGCTAACAACTGAGTTTTGTGGGAGGAGAAGCTGAGAAATGCCTTAAGAGATTGCATAAGGACTAGAAACATTTTAACATTTACCTTTTCAAAATATAAAGCAGTCTGTGAACCAAAAAATAAAATAAAATAAAATCCACACAATAAGCACATACCTAGTCCTATCTCCCCTAGAATTAAAGTTCTGTAAGCTTGTGGTGCAAAAAACTGTTTATTCAATTCCCACTGTGGTCTGACTTTTATTAAGAATGTAATTCCTCAAGGCCAGAATCCCATTTAAATTTTTTCTTTTGGTTAATGTAATGTAAATGTACATTTAACTACAACTGAAAATCTAAATACAGCAGAAATCAATTTAATGTAGACACCATTTTTACTCTGCCTGGCAGTAAATATGCAAAAGAATGCTCAAGTATTAGAAAAATGAGCATCTACTTTTCCTTTATTACCTTAGCATTTCCTGCTTTTGTCAGTTACTTAAGGCCAATTTTAAATATGGAAAGAAGCATAAAATTTGCAAAAAATTTTGCAAATTTTACTAAATCAGTAGTGATCTGCATTAAATCTCACAGTTAAACCAGTTAACACACGGTCTAGAGTTCTTCATTACACCTATGAACTAATTCTAAAAATCAAATTAAGCCCAACTTTCTAGTTTGTGGTTAAACACTTCTTTTAAAATAAAATACTGTTTTAAGTACAAATAACAAAAGGCAGTGCCTTAAGGAAAATCTTTACTCTTTTGGGGAGGTTCAGTTGCCAAAAGAGATCAATTTACCCAAAGAATTTTGTTGTTGTTGCTGAATTTGTATCATTTTTGTGATAATGTTGCTCAGAGTACCTTTTTGTAGCTTAACTGAGAAGTCTTAAAGATAGGAGTTTAAAATGGAAATAGTAACTGACCCTTAACTACAGCAATGTGAATGTGACAATGTAACAAACTCATTCCATTTACCAAAAACAAACATGCATTAATTAACTCTCACTGCAATGAAAGCATACTGTATTGATTGCTGTCTTTCTACAGAGAAAGATATCTTTATAGAAGGCTTGCTGCCTTACCTCTAGGTCACAGCTGTATTCGGTGCCATCCAGGAGCATCACTTTGCACGGCACAGTTTTAATCTTCTTGGGAGCTTTCTGAGGCACTTTCTCCATTTTGATTTCAGTTGTTTGTACCTCTTTGGACTCCCTCTTTTCTTCTACTTTTTGTTTTTCTTCTTGCTCATTGGCAACTTTCTCTACTTCAATCTCTTTAGTGTCTTCTTTAGCAGGCTGTAAGAAAGATGTAGTTTAATACAATAACAAGTCCAACCCTTTCAGGATGAAGTTGAAAGAAAATTCTTCTTTTCTGTATATCAATAATTAATTATTCTTATAACTATCCATTAAGGTTGTGCTCCCAGCTGGTGTTTGGATGCATAATATATAGTTTTAAGGGTTCCCCTTTGAGAAAAGATACTGAAAAACAAATTTTCTATTCTAAAGGCCACTATCTTGATGTTAAAATTCTAGCAGAAGCAACCAGTCTCCCTATAGAAATCAAAATGAAAGTTACATTTTTTTCTTAAAAGCAACTCAAAATATAATGAAAAACTGCATTAGAACAGAACAACATTTAAGAAAAACTCAAGCCATAAGTGACACGGGTTTGAATTTAAGGATTGACATCTGACTCTTCTGAAGGCAAGACTTTGGAGCACTGCAGAGCAGAGGCACATGTACAGCATAGTTCCTCACATTTCAACACCACAGCCATCAGCATCTCAACACCAACATCCAAGCAGCAAGAAATAAAGACAGTATCCATAATGCATAGTCTTGAGAGAATGGAAGAGTAAAGCATGGAATAAAATAATTGAGATCGTCAGGACTCAAAAATAACTACAGCAGATAATAAATGGATTGCTTCAGTCACTAAGGGTATGTCTATACATAAAACAAACAAAACAAAAAACACCCGACGGCAGCAAGTTTCAGAGCCCAGGTCAACAGACTTGGGCTCACAGGGTTTGTATTACAGTGCTAAAAAATAGCTGTATGTGCACATTCTGGCTCAGGCTGGAGCTTGGGCTCTAGCCTGAGCCAGAACGTCATAGCACGAGTCCCACGAACCCATGCCTGAAGAACTGGGCTCAGACTCGCTGCCTAGCTTTTTTCCCCCCCCCCCGGGGGGGTGGGGAGGGGGAAGTGAGGGGGCGTTGTGTAGACATACCCTCAGTAGCACGTCACTAAAGTCAGCCCAAGCAGAAAAATCGCACAAAAATTCAAAGAGGGAGCCATATTAATCCCTGGTATAAATTTCAATACATGACACATACTTCAGAGGAGTTACAGTAGCAATAAAACTGGTTCACTGACTAGCCGTTAATATTTTCTTTAATTTATTAGCTTTCCACACATACCTGTGTGTCAGCACTGCTCATAGAATGCTTCTCCTCCTCCTCCTTGTCATCTGCTTTAGCCTCCTGTTGGCTCTCAATTGTTGCTTCTTCCAAGTTTCCCTTTGGCTGAGCCATATCCTCTGGAAGTTGACTTTCCCTCTCCTCCACTACCGGTGTTTCCTCTACAGGTTTTTTCTTGGCTTCATCTTTGGGCTCCACCAAGGTATATGATTTTTGTTTCTTAAGCCATGGGGGGATAAAGCGAGAGATTCCCTTGCCTTCAGATGGATCTTTTTCCTTCTTCTGACTACTTGGGCTGCTTTGAGTAGCTAGTGCTGGGGAAGAAGAACTTTGTGCCTCTTCAGAGAGTGTCTTTTCCGACTTTTGATTTTCCTGACTCTCTGTTGCTTCCTCGTGTGTTTCCTTGGCTGCATCTGCCCCTAGCTGCTCAGATTCCTTCTTTACTTCAGTCTCTGGGCCAGCTTCAGTCGTCATGGTCACAGGTTATGCTAGAAATGCAACAATAAAATATTATTATGCATTGTTTCAACGTTCTATTTTTTGGCTCTCAACACCATTAATAAGAATAATCTAAAAATTAAGGCACTATACATCAATTTTGTTGGGATTAAAGAGCTGTTTTAATCCATCCTATTTAAGATCTTCAACCAAAAATAAAAGTAACAACAAACCAAAATCTGCTGCCATATTGGACATCTGGAATTTTCAAAAATGCTTATGCTAAAGAGATACATTATGCTTCAATGCACCACAGCTTTCCTCTTGGAAAAGTGGTAGGAGTGCTCCATGGTTCCTAGACTTAACACTGAAATACACTTGCTACAATAGGGTGCTCTTAATGTTAAAGACAGACTAAACACAAGAAGTGTTCAGTAAGTAACTTTCACTCTTTTTCTGCAGGCTTTTCAAAGCAGTCTAATGGGTCTCAAATTTCAGGAGGAGCTGGGCACCTACCTCTCCTGGGCTTGTTTGAAAATCCCAGCCATACACTGACATCGTGGCCTCATTTAAGTCAATGAAAGTTTTACAGTTGACTTCAAATCAGAAAAGGGTTTAATCCACAGTGTTTACAGCATTTTTATACATTTCCACCTTGATAAAAACAATGCTTAGGGGCAAATTATTCAAAGGAAGAGTTCTCTCCCCTCTTTTGTGCTTTTCAGGAGTACATTTCCAATCCCATCACTATTCACACCAGCATTCTAATGAACTTTAATGAAAATATTAAAGGCTATTTTAATTGGAACAGCTACATGGTCTCCTTGTTAAAAATAAAGATAAGTTGATTGTACTGAGAATGGAGGGCACATGTAGAATGCTAGCAATCAAGCCCATGTATTTGACAGCTGCATACTAATAGCTGTTAATGGACAGGCAATTTTTGTAAATGTTGATTTTTAGTCTAAAAATCAAATTTGTCTCATGATTTCAGCAGGATGGGAATAAAAAAAAACCTGATTCCCTAAAACAACTTGAACACAGGCACAGAGAAAGTGGAGTGCATCCATATTTAATGGTTCCTGAAACATTTATGGGCTATCAATATAAAAATGCCTTCAACAGACCTTGAATCAAGTCTGGTCTCTGAATCACAAGTTTACATAAGAAAGCACCAGAACATGATACTTTTAATCTCCATACATCTTTGCCCAACCCCTTCTTAAAAGCTTAGGATAAACTATTGGCATAGCTAGATGGCTTGAAAGTCAGCAGATTGCAATAGAATTCATTCCAACCACTGACACCAACAGGGCACCCCACTGAAAAATGCCTGCTATCAATCCCTCTTGTTTAAAAACAGTAGACTATTAGTTTAGGGCACCTACTGATCTCCACAAATTCTAAATCATGCAAGGACAGAGGTAGTCTCTACATTAATTAATTTAGTGATTTTGAGTCAAACATGCCACCTTAAATTGCACTCAGAAACCAACTGGAAAAATTGGGGTATTCTATTCCTGGCAAGGAGCACCAGCAAGTGGGCTCCCAGTTTCTGCAGTAGCTAAAGTTTCCAAATGGACTTCATGTCTAACCACAAATGGAATCAATACAGTAAGCCAGACTGAGGTGACAAAGATACGGATAACAAATGAGAGCTGCATCCACCTAAGCCTTCTTGTCAAATGGAGATGGTCACTGCTGATACTTGGACATCCAAAAGCAGCATAGGGGTCTTTATTTAATACAGTTAACATAACTCATTTTCACTGAGAGGCTTGATGGATACATAGGGCACAGTTTAAAATCACCTACTCATTATTACAGTTGTGCTGAGCAACCAGCCATGACCAGCAGCAAGAGAATGGAGGTCAGTCAAAGCATTGCATGTTTGGGGTTAGGACCCACCTCCACCACCAAAAGTAAAACCAAATAATCTTCCTGGAATAAGATACTGTAGTAAGTGAGAAGTTACAAGAATATTAATTGATAATATTGGAGTCCTACAGTCACAAAATGCAGAGATTTGATTTAAGCTCACATTTAAATACTCAAGTTTTATACTTATTTTCCCTAAATTATTAAAAAAAAAAAAAAACAAAGAAAAGCACTTTTGTCATGTTTAATAGATTTCTAGTGGCACTGAATGCTGCTTTTATATAACTGCCTAATTTCAAGATTAAAGCAGAGTTTAATTTGTGATTGAAAATATGGACAAATATTTCCCTAAAACTAGTTTCTAAATAAATCTATGATTTCAGGAAATGCCTGGATTTAATGTAAATTATGCCAAATCTGAAATGCTAGCTATAAATTTGCCAGATTCTGAGAAGTCACTCCTCCCAGAAAACATTTAGGTACAAATGGGCAACAAATTCTATAAGAAATCTGGGAATTCACATCTCAATCAACCTAGAAGAGCTTTACGATTTAAATATCAAACCACTACTTCAGCAAATAGAAAAAGACCTGGAGTGTTGGGGGAAGTATGCAATTTCTTGGTTGGGAAGAACCACCACAGTCAAAATAAACATTTTGCCAAAGATACATCTTTCTTATTTCAAAATCTTTCTGTAATCATCCCTGATAAAACTCTGGCAGGAAGACAGAGGATGTCATTAGAATTTATATGGAATAAGAAGGAGGGGAGGGAGGGGGAAACCAACAGTGAGTGCAGATACATTGTATAAACCCTTTACATGGGGTGGACTAGCTGTTCCAAATATTCAGTGGTACTTTCAAGTCAGCCAGCACGCAAAGCAGTAGTGAACATTGAGCTCTTTGATCCAGACCAACCCGTCTTTACTGAACGTGAAAACTGTGGCAGTGAAAACATTGCTTGGCTACCAATTAAAATTAATTAAAAAAAAAATCACTCTCCAGAAGTTATACACTTCCTTTTAGCAAAGGCTATTCTATGGGCTTGCGATAGAAATGAAGATAAAAAATTCTTTCCCCTCACCCATGACACCCATTGCAAATAATCCCGATGTTAACCCAAATCATGAACCAGAGAGCTTTAAAGACCAGAAGAGCCATGGAATACATATGGTTATCCAGCTACTCAGTAAAGAAACTTTTCTAAATAATTTAGACATTAAAACTAACTGACCCACTCTCCTGTGGTACCCGTACTATCAAGTTAGACACTATGTTTCTCAACTTTCTAAAAAAATGGTTTTATACAGAAAACTAACTTTAATAGTTTCCTAATTGACCAGATGCCATTGCTTCTATCACCAATTGTTGAATATTTATTACCAAATAACCTTTTGGTAATCCTCCTAGGGCTTCCTAGCAGAAATGGTCACACAAAAGAAGAGGAATTAATTTCTCATCTGCTAAGCTGCCTCTCACTGGAAAAAGAAAAAAATAGTCCAACTATAGAGGAATAGTTCAATAAATAAATAAATAAAATAAATAAATAAGGGAGGTTGTTATGGAAATACTAACACACCAATTACATACCCAGCATAAAATGGGCAGAAGAGAATTAAATACTTGAATAAATGGCAACCAAATATCTAATATTAGAAGTACATTCACTAGCAAAAAACAGCATACCTGTTCATTTTTAATATTAACAATTGATAGACATGCCTGCTCTGTGAAGTATGTATAATCAGAGATTTCACTCAATTTAATAAAAAAAACTAGAAACAATGTCATCGTTATTGTAATTATGTTCACTCTGTAATATGGTAACACTCAAAGAGAGAGGTCTGATGATTACATTACTGTATACTATCTCTAAACAAAAGTTCACTGTTGTAATGATTATTGTTTTGTTTGACATTTACATGGCAAGGATTTTTTAAATCTGTTTATATTTCCTAAAGTTGACACACTTACTCAAGTTGCTACTAGTCAAATCACATTTTGCTATTTCTTTCTACTTTTACATGGCATTACCAAATTTCTCTTGCATGCACATATCCATCCCAACACTGCTACCAGAGCTAGAAATTATCTTTTCTGGGAAACAATCTACAAATATCTGCTTGCCAAAGAAAACTGATCTATTGGGCATTCTTTTGCAATTATAGTATAGTCAAATTGTAAGTTTCAGTGTTAACCGTGGCAGTGTCAATTGAAACTGATTAGCTGGGAAACAGTAATCTAGCCTTATGAAAAAAATTAAGTGACCTTCAAAGTGGCATCTTCTATTTGAGAGCACATTTTCACATATTTATTATTCCAACTACCACCCTAAAACAATATTTGTATATCTATAAACTGCATCCTCCTCCCTATCATTATAAGGGGTTTGTCTACACAAACATTTAGTTCACAACAAACTGGGGTGTTAGCCTACTGGGGACTACCTGTCCAGGTGGACTTGGCTGACTGGGGACTCAAAGCTCATTAACAAACTATTCATGTGCATGAGCGAAGTCTAAGTGGGCCGCAGCAAATAACTCTGCGGGCCGCGTATTTGAGACCCCTGGTCTACATGGACAGCTAGTCTGCAGCAAGCTAGTGGGAAGTAGATTCATACCCCAGCTTGCCAAGAACTAAGTGTTGGTGTAGACAAACCAAAGCTTTTGGAGGCTATCATTGTCTTCTCTTCAGCCTGCTTTCAGTTTGGGGAGGACAGAACCAGTCCTTTTGGTCACTGGCAGCAGAGGAATGCCCCATCTTCCATGGTCCCTCTGATAAAGGTAACTTCCACAGCCAGGATAATCCAAATTAGATTGTGTTAAATACAATTTGAAGAAAAAGTACTTATATTGGAGAAAATGTAAATTCCACCAAAAAATGAACCCAAAATCTTGGATGTTAATTTCCATCTACTCTAGATGCTCCATTTGTCCCCAGGTGGCCTACACTTGATGAAAGGAAGTTTTCAGGTAAGCATGTGTTAAGGTCCACAGATCCATTGTAATGAGATTTTCATAGAAATACGACTCTAGGGTGGGAAGCATGATCATCCTTTAAATAGGGACATCCAAAATGAGGTAGATTATATATAAATATCTCCTCCTTCTTCACTTAGGCTCTAAGGTCTGAAGGAGAAGACTTCTGCCAAAAGAAAGGAAATGGCATTCAC